GTTATCCCCCACATGATCGCTCCCCACTTTTCTGTCTAATCTATGCTGTTCTATCGAATAAATAAAGGCAAACAATCCAAGAATACTAATATAAAGCCTGAAAAAGCTAAACCTTCACTGACAATAGGCATACTTGCGAGTATAAAACTGAGATCCAGATAAATTGAGTTTCTGTAGAAATCATTTGAAGTCACAGAGTTAGACCAAATCTTTGCAATTTGTTAATTTTCAGGCAGGAAGCACAATACATTAAACTTATTTTTATGTAGTTAAGCACAGACACAGGGACCAATGTAATTATAAAGGGCTTAGTTTTAAGTGTTTTGTCTTGTAGATGAGGACTAGTGAAGTGGTAATATGTCTTGAAATGTGTTGCCAGCTTAAGATATTTCCCAAAATACTTTTATTTTGCTCACTGTGTTGCTTTCGCTCTCTGATGTCATTAGTTTCCAACCCTTGTAAGAATGTGTGCAGTCACCTGTGTCTTCTTCGACCTGGTGGATACACCTGTGCCTGCCCGCAAGGCTCCTCTCCGGTGGAGTTCGACTCCAACGAATGTGACGCAGGTAAATAACAACAACCGCAGTGCATGTACTGTCTGCACCCTCACGTAAGCTGGGGTTTCGCATCAATACATCCATCCTCCACTCGTGCTTGGCTGCTCCTGTGTGGTTTTGAGAGACTGTGCTGTGATATTGTTTCATTGTTGTTGACTCTCTGGTACGCCTGGCTTTTGCTCCTGCAGCCATTGAGGCTCCTGTTGCAATGCCGCTTGCATGTAGATGCATGAATGGTGGAACCTGCTACACTGATGAAGGGGGCCTGCCCAAGTGCAAGTGAGTTCATGTGCCACGGCCATTTTTACCCATCGCTGTCAGTGATACCTCATATCTTTGGAATTTTCCAGCACACTTCGGGTTGTTTTACCAGTGAGGTTTTCCTGCGGCTAAAGATTGTTATCGCATTTGATCATGATTCTGTGCAGATGTCCTTATGGCTATGTGGGCAGCTACTGTGAGATGGGAAAGTCGAGGGGTGCCCCAGCAGGAACAGGTATGGTCGTTTACTTATAAGCTAACTAACATTTTTTAATGTCTTAGTATTGAAACTAGACCCAGTGTTATTGTTAGCCAGTAGCAGCTATTTGCCACTATATTGTTATTGGCATTAGAAAGAAGAAATATTTAAAGAAGAGACGGGACCTTTCAATATCCTTAGGGACTGATAAAGTATTCTGATTCTGATTTAACTACGTTACGAGTGGTATACTTTGTCCACCAGAGGGCACTCTGCGACTTTTGTCGCTAACTCACTGTTTGGAAAGCGACAAGCAACAACCAGCTGATCTGAGCAGATCGCAAAGAGTAATCTGCGACTTGTTGAGAGATGAAAAGAAGTTTATTTATAAACTGCATTGTCATATTATCTTAGTAAGAGCTCATAAATAACTACACATAAATGTTTCACACAGAAAAATATTGGCTGCTTTTTAAATCACCAAATATCAGCATCAGTCCTGTATCCTATATCCTATATCAGTCAAGCTCTACTTAAAGCAGTATTTCCTGCATGCATGCTGAAGAAGTCACATTTATTTACTGCTTATTTGCCTAAAATTTTAAGGTGGGAACATTCTGGCTCAGCATTTGCAGAATTTGTTGAGTGGATGAAATCTCAGAGTTTTTAATAGCTAGCTAATTAACACATCAGTTTGACCAATGTTTAACATAAACTAACAAGTCTGCTAAAAGTCACAAACACTAATGGGCTTGTCAGCAAAATGTTATTAGTCACGTTAATGATCTGCATCTCACTGCGAATGTCCTGTATCATGAATCTGCATATTTACCCCCTTTTTCCTTTAGCTGTAGCTGTTTTATTGGCAGTCATTATCATCCTGATTACTGGAGGTTTGGCTGTTGGAGTTTTCCTCAACTACAAACGAACAGGCTCTTTCATCCCCTCCATGCCCAAACTACCCAGGTTTCTACCACTTCTTTTCGGTTCAGTTTTTTTCAGTTAAAACTGTGATGGAGCTCACGGTATAGATTTCAGACCAAAGTTCAGGTGCTTGTGTTTTGTTTTTGTTCAGCCTCAGCAGCTTGGTGAAATCCGCTGACACTGGGAATGGGGTGACGTTTCGGTCGGGTGATAATGTGGATCTCGGACACTCACACGTTGGAGTGTCATTCATTGACACAGGCATGCAGATGGTGAGTCTTGGATAAATGCATACAAGCAGCTAATCATTTCCAGGATCACTAAAAGTACAAAATCAGCGTTTTTGAACATGTTCGCGTACAACTTCAAGAAGTGCTTGTTTGAGAGCTTAACAAATATTTAAAAGTTCAGTAATGACTATATCAACAATCTCACCATTATAATATCCCCATAGGATGATCATTTTGCCATGGAGCCTGGGAGGCAGCCGATTACATTTGAGAACCCACTGTATGCCACTGGTCACGTGTCTGGGGACCCTGCTGTTATTCATGCCACGCAGGTACTCACAAATGAATATCTTTTGCACTTTACAGGTTAGAGCAGGGACTTTCAGACCTGCACAGCTTGTAGAAATTAATTAAAGAAAACGAATAGGAATTGAAATTGGCTCTAAAATCATTTTGACTAACAACCAAGTAAAATAATAAATAAAAAAGAAAGAGCTTCACAAATTAACAATAGAATAGAAGCAGATAATATACTTACATCCCACCACATTAAGCCTTAACCCTCTGAGGCTGGGTTAGTATCTCCTTATGACTATTATACAAAGTGTATACTATACATTTATTATGAAATAGAAATGAACAATATAAAGAGGAACTACTGGAGATCCTGTGCTGCCAAAATAACACTAATCTGGTGCCTCTATTATGTTACACAAAGGAGGAAAAAACAAACCACAAAGAAATCGCTGTGTATTTTTTTTAGATTGTGTTTTATGAACCTTTAATTAATCTGATTTATAATCATAAACTGCTACATTTTTGCTTTCAAACAGGTGACTGTGAATGTGAGCGGTGATCAGCGGGAGAACAACTTTGTAAACCCGACTTACCGTGGAGACCCGAGCGTAGGCGTGGTGAACACGTCTACCGTCAGCACCCAACCTGTCCATGTGAATATCATACGTGCACAAAGTCAAAAGAAATCTACTTTAAATACTTTTAAAGCACCCGTGCATGGAGCCACCTCAGTGACTGTGTTTTGTTTGCAGGAGTCAAAGTGGAGCTTATTCAAACGAAAATTAAAGCCAAGCACCACATTTGAAAACCCTTCATATTCAGAGGTATGTCCGGCCATTTTCTAAAAAACAGAAATTAAACAGAAAGCTGGGGTGGGGAGGGGCTTCTCTTTTTTACCGTCTGTGCTGTTTTACAGATGAGGGATGAAAAGCCCGTAGGAAGCAGCGGGGACTCTTCTGCCCCTGAGCCATCTCCGTTTGCCCCCCCTGCCAAACCTCAGAAGAGGGATCGCCCCAACACCTTCTCGCCTACCGAGGACAGCTTCAAAGACACGGCCAACCTCGTTAAAGAGGACAGTGACGTATAACCCCTCTCTCGCGGACGGGAATCGAAAAATGAAACACACTTTGCACAGAATTTATTTTTTTATGCAGCCTGTGTACAAAACTCAAATCGTTTTAGGAGAGAAGTACATTTCTATAGAACAAAGAAAAACGTCTTCCGTGACTATGCCTTCTGACATTTCTTATGCCAATTTTGTGTTAATGTTTTTTGTTTCTTTATCCTGATGTACGATATGTATATCTTTGCACTGAAGCTGCTGATAGAAATGTTAATAAATATGTTGTATATTTGTAAATTTGGACAGTAAGATTTTTTTTCAGAAATATTCTGGAATAGATCCTAAATAGTTCGGCGTGAAGAAAATAACACATATAAAAGGCGAGCTGCATTGTGAATGTACAAAATGATCAAAGGAAATTGGAGAAATGCGATGGGTAATAATATCTGTTTCACCACTGAATATATACCTCATTTCACGGCTTAATTGAAGCAAGACAGATTCGATTTTATATCTCTTCAGTATGTGCTCCAATATAAACAGATGCATAGGCTTAAATACGTGTGCAAAGCATACTTTTATCCTTCTTAATCAAACTCATTTTTACCTTACATCACCTTTGCGACTTTTGAATTGATACGATTGTTTTTTAGTGATATTACTGAAATGAATAATGGCCAAATTAGTTTGGAACAGTACTTGAATGTGCCCAAGTCTATTGCGTGGATATGTAGTTGATCATCTTAAAGAGCAATATACAACCCAAGAATACAGATGTAGACATTTTCTAATAAGTTCTTTACAGATTGATCTATGTTGTATCATAATGAGGACAAATAAAAAATGTTATCTGTGAGGAAATGTCCAAATGGATTCAATTTCTGCTGCTGAGACGTGCATGAATAAATTTCTTATTTTGTAACGTGGTCTCTTTTTCTTCACTTTATTGTTACGGTCCATCTATTTTCTAGATCTTAGGGAGGTCTGGGAGCTACGCCTTGGACACCACACAAATGCATAGAGGAAGACAAAGATTTAGGGTCATGTTCATCCATGTTTGCCCCTTTCTGCCTTGAGAGCTGCCTTAATTCTTCACAGCACAGATTCAGCAAGATGCTGGAAACATTCCTCAGAGATTTTGGTTCTTACTGACATGATAGCATCACACAGTTGCTGCAGATTTGTCAGTTGCACATTAATGGTGTGAATCTCCCCTACCACAACATCCTAAATGAGTTAGTGTTGTCCTGCTGGAAGTCGCCACCATAGGCTGTGGTGTTTAAACAATTTCAAACATATGAGCTTAAATATGTGGCACACTTTAGGTCCTTTAGATCCACACCATTACACCACCACCTCCACCATGAAACACTGATACAACACAGGACTGATCCACGATTTCATATTAATTATGTCGTATTCTGACCCGATTAACTGAATGTCACAGCAGAAATCAAGACTCAACAGGCCAGTCTTGTATTGTTTAATTTTGGTGAGCCCGTGCACATTGTAACCTTAGCTTCCTCTTCTTAGTCGATGGGAATGGGACCCGGTGGGGTCATCTGCTGCTCTAGCTCATCTCCTTCAGTGTTTGATGTGTTGTGTGTTCAGAGATGCTCTTCTGTATATCTTGGTTTTAACAAGTGGTTATTTGAGCTACTGTTTTATCTTTTTTTGAATCATCTTCTCTAACCCCTAGAGATGGTGTGTGGGAAAATCTCAATCAGCTTTAGCTTAGGGTGAACATGGTCAACATATACACAGGAGAGAAGTAATGACACAGTCATACAAACTTTTACAGCGATGGTAAAGGCTGTCTGCTATTTACATCTTTTGTTTAGGAGAAGGGAGAAGCACAGTGACTATAAAGTCTGCAATGAATGAAGGGAGGTAGGACAAAGGGATCCAGAAAAGCTTTGCGTCCCAGCCTGCTGCGTAACGTGTGCGTGGGAAGCGAGCGGTCAGCGCGTGCTCCATGCACCTCGTCACCTTAGAGATATCCGGACTGCACAAGAGTCCCATGGAGAAGGTCTGAGCTTTCACATCTGAGAGATCAATAATCAGATAAAAGTGATCTTACAGAGCATCTGTTTAGCTGATCTGTAGCTGATTTAAACAAAGTGCACTTTTACTCACACTCATCAAAGTATGTAGCTCCATATGAGTCTTTCACATCTTGAGGGAGGCGGGACCACAGCCTCCTCAGGTTAGCGTCAATAAGGTCAATGCGGGTCACGTTAGTCTTGAAGAAACCGGGCTCGATGATGCTCACATTAATACCAAAGTGCTGCATTTCCCTCCTGGTCAGACAAAGCAGACAACGTGTCTCTTTATTGGCTTCACTTTTCAGATCTGTGTTTATAAGTAAATTTTTATGATTGATCCTTGATGGGTGGCATTATTTTTGATAATAAATCAAAGAATGGACTCTTTACAGGATGTAGGACCTTTTAACATCAGCCTTTTGGCCTCCGCCATGTTGTTTCTTAGAGCTGCAAGTGAATGCTAAGACTAGCTAAGACTAGCATACTAGTGTTAAAGCAAGTGAAAGAATTTTACTGAGCACTTCTCCATCAGTACTATGCTGCGGCATAGTTAATATATGAGTATTTTCAATCCTTTGATACTTTCATTAGACTGTGGTAGATGTCATTTCTGCTTTACTATATTTTTATGTGTATGTATTTATTTTTTTTTATAGGCAGAGGTCAATGGGTCCATTTTTGGACAAAAGGTCCATTAACAGATAACAAATATCAAATATTTGTTATTTGAAAATAGGCATGAATTCAAAAGCTTTGGAAGTGTTTCTTAAAGCCTGGTTCTGCTGGAGGTTTCTTCCTGTTAAAAATGAGTTTCTCCTTCCCACTGTCGCCAAGTACTTGCTCATAGGGGGCTTCTTATTGTTTGCGTTTTCTCTGTATTTTGGGGGATTATGAAGTGCATTGAGATGATTTGATATTATATAAATAAAACTGAATAAAAGTGAATTGAAGATTTCAGCTCTTTCAACTACTGCTAACATCGCTTTATAGTAGTCTCCTGATCTCCCCTTAAAAGATGCGTAACTAACTGTAGTGTGGAGTTATCAAAGCATCAGGACACTCACATTATTTTATTGGTCCAATGTCACCAAAACCATCTTGCCTACCCAAGTGTTAATCCTTTTTTTTTTTTTTTTTTTTAATTATGACTTAAAAACCCCCCACCTCAGCAGTATGTTTTTAACCACATGTTCATACCTGAGGCTGTCAGAAAAGGCTTCCACTCCCCATTTGGACAGGCAGTATCCTCCACCAGTGAGAGACAGTCGTCCCAGAATACTAGCTACATTCACCACTCTGCCCCGAGCTTTCTTTAAGAGAGGCAGAAACTGGAGGGTTACGTCAATCACTCCTAACAGATTCACATCCAAAACCTTTGTGAAATCCTCTAACTTCATCCATTCTGATGGGCCGATGGGTGTCGATCTTCCTGCATTATTCACCAGACCCCACAGACCTGCAGGATACACAATAACGACCACCAGAAAACAGCTCATGACCTTCATCTTTTAAATCTTTTGCTTTGTAATCTTGACAGATTAAACTGCTTACAGCCCATGCAGATGCTTCTCTGCATCTCCAGATGTCAAACACTGACCTGCTGTGCAAGGTTTTAGTACAAGTTGATCAAACTGCTATCTGTTCAACCCTAGAGAAGAGTATGAGATGCTCCACATACACAGGTTGGCCAAATTTTGGTTTGTATCCTTTTCTGTAGGCATTTTGTAAGTATGGCATGAAACTTCCTTGTGTGTGTGCTAATGTGCATCTGAATGTTGGATGAAGCCAGGTCTATAATTCCTATTTGCTGGAGTAGACTCATTGCAGAGATGACTTTGGACATCTTTTGCATACAAAATAGTATTTTTCCCAACTTATGTAAAATTTGTTTGGTTCTTGTGGAAAATCAGATGTTTTTGCCCCCTGGGTTTCGAAAAATTTGAAAATCTATGTGGTGAAAATCTGTCATTGACACACTGAACATCTGAGAAGCAGGTGAAAACAGACATATGGGTTCTTTTCTAATGATCTATAAGATAAAAAGGTTAGGAGCCACTTACATAGAGCATGGGCCTGACAAACTGATCTATGGCATTTGTTTTACACATCTGCCACCTTTATTTTTTTCAGTAAAAATCTTTTTCATAGATAAAATCAAATGATGGAATTACTTTTTGCCCATCAGTAATAACATTTGTTTTCAGCACATGCTGTCCCACAGTTGGTAGTCAGATCTCAGTCTACAGTCTTGATTTATGTCAGAAGCAGGTTTCTCCCTCCCGTTTAAAAGGCAAGATGTGTTACATGTATCAGTAGGAGGATGATGGGTTGATGACGGGATGGACCAGCTTGGCTTTATCTCTCCCAGTGCTTCACTCTGACTGGCACCCTATCAGTGTGCACCCCCTGCTGTCCGCCCGGCTCACCTCGCTCTCCGACCTCTCTGCTCACAGACTCCACCGCCTTCCTGATGCTCGAGCTGTCCGTAACATCCAGCAGGAAGGCCTTCAGTCTGGGGGAGGCAGCCGCTGCCAAGTCTGCGGCACCTTTCTCTGTGAGGCAGGCGGCCATGACTTGGAAACCTTTTCGATCCAGCTGTTTGGCCAGAAGATTCCCAAAGCCGCTGTCACAGCCTGTGATGAGCACATGTTTCTGGCTGAAACCATCAACCTTGTAGGAATCTCTGATGTACCAGCGGACGGCAGCGAGCGTGGCCAGAAGGAAAACACAGGTTAGGGCCAGGTGTGACAGGATTACCTAAAACACAAAAATTACAACTAAAATGAAAGACTTCACACATTCATAATGTCATCCTCTACTTTATTTTAATCTCTGGATAAAGTAATTAATTTATACAAAAACAGAGAAATCGTCTTACCCCTGCCAAATAAGCTGCTAGACGGTCTGTAAATACCTGGTGGGAGAAACTTGGGATGCATTTCAAAACATTTAAGCAGCAGTAATGAAACCTGAATTATACACACGGCCTCTTAATGTTTGTTTAGCCTCGTTTTATTTTTCATAAAGCAGAGCATCACATGAAAGTTCTGGACATTGAAGAATAAAGCAATTTAACACTTAATAAATAAAAGATTTATAAAACTTGTCTCAGTGTTAAAGCCTGTAACCACATTATCAAACCAGGGCGCCACTGCTATTATTTAGCTTCAGCTCCCCCTTGTGGCTCAACTGGTTATGGCAGAATTACATAGCTTTTAAAGCCATTCACAACTAAGTGAGCCCTTAACCCAGTATTGAGTAGAACAGACTGAGATCTAAGAAAATGTGGCCACACCTGATTAATATGTCCCCAAATGAAGTTCAGTTCACCCAAACAGAAAATTGGCATCTACCCTCACAGGTCTGAAAGCTGGAAGGTTAAACTGAATACATTTAATCAGTATGTCTTGATGCATTCTCAATCATCCAGGTAAGTAAATCTCCAAAAATTGATTCTGTTCATCTGGACGTAACGTTTTGTGGGAGAAACGTTTCGTCACTCATCCAAGTGACTTCTTCAGTCTCAGCTGACTGCAGGTTTCCCCATCTTATAAACAGTACATTTGCATAATGACTGAAAAGCTGGAAAGGCACCTAAAGAAAGCCCCAGCCGATCCAGGAGTGAAGGACAACCGCTCCCCAAGCGAAAACCTGTAGTGATCCCATATGTGTCAGGAGTATCGGAGTAGTTGAGACGCATTTTTTCTAAACACCAGGTCTCTGTGGCTTTTAAACCCCAAAACACGCTGCGCCAAAAATTGGTCCACCCCAAGGATCGGGTCCCCCGACACAAACAGAGTAACATAGTGTACGCTGTTAAGTGCCAGGAGGATTGCCAGGATTTATACATCGGGGAAATCAAACAACCTCTGGCGAAGCGGATGGCACAACACAGAAGAACTACCTCGTCAGGCCAGGATTCTGCAGTCTATTTACAGCTACAGGCCAGTGTACACTCTTTCAAGGATGAGGATGTACACATCCTGGACAGGGAGGAACGCTGGTTTGAGCGCGGAGTCAAGGAGGCCATTTATGTGAAAAGGGAAAGACCAACTCTGAATCGAGGAGGGGGCCTAAGGGTACATCTTTCGCCATCTTACAATGCTGTGATTGCAGCCATTCCCCAGCTCTCTGTGAATGGTACTCATGGACATTGATCAGTGGTCTTTGATCAGTGGGTTTTGGTCAGTGGTTGTTGATCAATGGTCATGAGAATTTGCATAATTAAGATTAAAGAACTGACCTCCCAGCCCATTGTTCCTTCAGTGGGCTGGTTTCAGTCATTATGCAAATGTACTGTTTATAAGATCGGGGAAACCTGCAGTCGAAACGCTTCTCCCACAAAACGCTACGTCCAGATGAACAGAATCGACTTTTGGAGATTTAATCAGTATATTTGTGATCACAGGTTTACTGATTTCATATGGTAACATTATGTTATCCTAGAACTCATTCGAGAGGGGAATATATGAGGGAGCGGATGTGGCTCAGGAGGTACAGCAGTTCATCTATTAATCAGGAGGCTGGTGGTTTGATCCTTAGCTCCCCTGGTCTGCATGCTGGAGTATCGTTGGGCAAGATACTAAATCCTGACTTGCCCCTGATGTGTGTGCATGAATGTTATGCATTAACATTGGAGGGGGAGAGGGAGGGGAAACAGGAGGACAAAGGAGGGGGGAACAACTAAGCTGTAGTGCCTCTTCACCTCACTGTGCAATACCTTGTGCAATACTTTTTGTAAATAGTCAACAGTGCAATAGACTCAATACTTGAAATGTGCAATTCACTTGTATTTTTATTTTTTATTCCTATTTATTCTATTTATCCCCTTTGTATATTTTATTTATATTTGTCTCTGTATTTATATATGTGTGTGTGTGTGTGTGTGTGTGTGTGTGTGTGTGTGTGTGTGTGTGTGTGTTTATATAACAATTCTGTAACTGTAACTTCGGTCGTTGCTGTGCTTTTTTTGGAAGTCGAATTTCCCAGAGGAACCCACCCGAGGGATTAATAAAGTTCTATCTTATCTTCTATCTTATCTTATCTTAAAAAAAAAAGTGTATATGTGTGAGTGAATGAAGCTTGAAGTGAGAGTGTGCTTTGAGAACTCAAACTGAGCTGATAAGCACTAGAACTACAGCCCATTTATCTGACATCTGTTAGCTCAAACTACAGGAAAATGCTGCTTAGAGCTCACGATTACAAAAGACTTACAGAAAACTGGATCATTACTTTTTATAGACACTCAGCGATATACTTGAACACTAAAACTGTAAAGAATTATTCGCTGGTACCAAAGTTTTTTACATTGTGGTGCGAGAGATTTTATTCAAAGATCTTAATCCAGTCCTCTTTGTTTCTCACACGAACATGCGGGAATAGGAAGTATGTAGTTGGAAAAAAAAAATGTGTACGATTTTGGGCATTTTCTCAATACATTTTATTTGATTTGTGCACCAATTGTGTTTCATTAACATAACCCTCTGAAAACTCAAAGCCAAACTATCTGCATGTTAGAAACTAAACTATGGGTAAACAGATTTTTAAAAAAAACAGCATGACAATTTTCATTCATCCACCAGATGGCATCAGATCTCATTAAGCTATCTACTGAAAGTAAAATGTAACAAAAAAAAAAAAAAAAACGCATACAAAAATAACAAAAGGTTTCAATCGAGCCACTCCTGTCAAGTCTGCTAATTAGCTTAGTGTAAAATAAATAAACAGCCAATAACTTATCCAGACGTTAGCTGGGCTAGGTGATCACAATGGGTACAAGAGTCAAACAGCACAAATTTAAGCACCACTAAATGTACAATAGTAGAACAAATAATAATCATAAAAATAATACAAACATACCATGGTTACAGCTTTAGATGTTTCTGCTGCTTCACCCCTGGGGATATAAATTAACTGAAAGGTGCTTTCCACATCAAAACCTGGTGCTGAAGGTGAAGTTATGTAACAAGTCTGCAGAGTCATAGTCCGATTTAACAGGAGGGTCTAAAAGGTTACACGCTTGGGCTTGTGTAATACACTCAGAGTGCATGAGCCCTGGTTCTGATAACAGCACTCCCCTTTCAACTGAAATCAATTGTGAAAGCACAAAATCTCTGACTAAAGGTTACAGAGCACACTCTTCGATATGTAGGACGAATACATGTTAGGATTTTTTGCTTTACTAGCAAAGGTGAGATGACACAGCATTCAAGATTATTACATGACTTGACACAAAGTTAATTGTCAGTGCTCAAAGGTTTCTTCATTACCTGACATGTACTCTTCTGAGTGCAGCTCTATTAATCAATTAAATAGATGTAATAATGTCTAGAGTCATAATTATCGTAAGAAAATAAACACACGCCCATATAATCTTCAGATTAGCCCAAAATGCTTCACTGACTGACGTGACAGAAACTACAGCGCAGATATTTTGGGTCTGGGTTTACTTTTAATTAAATACGTGTCTGAGAGCCAGCTCGGCATGTACGACATCGGCAACCAGAGGAACTTGGCGTCCCACCCGGGGGAGTAGCGAGTGCGTGGATAAAGGGCAGAGATGGCGTGCTCCATACAGCCGACCACCTTCATCAGGTCCCCGTCTACAATCTGCCTGTACCTCTCGTCCAACTGCTCAAGCGCTAAAAAGAGAAATGTTTCACACATGAGTTCTGTAAAAATGATTCAATTCAATTAAAGGACTAATGATCATCAGTCGGGATCACAGGCAACATTAATGCAGCTGAAAAGAGTCCAGAAAGCTTCTGGTGCACGAAATCTTGTCTGCTGCATATTGATTCTGCACAGTCACATGAAATGAAGAGATTAAAGTAGATACAATGTCAGGCTGAAGATGGAAATGAGTGCAATGGATGAACAGCTTGAAAACATAATGCATCTGAGTAAGTCTTATCTGTTAAATGAAATAAAGCATCTCACTTGTGTCCAAGAAACCATGCCCGTAGTCATCTTTCACTTCCTGAGGTAATCTTTCCCAGAGCTTCATGAAGTTATTCTTCAACATAGCTGTGTCAGTCACGTTTGTTTTAAAGAACCCGGGCTCAATGCATAACACCTTGACTCCAAATGGTGCCATGTCGATACTGAAACACAAAATGAGATGCTGCAAGTCAGCAGACTCACAGGGTACGCATGTACAGGCTCAAAGTCAGATGTGCTCTCACCGGAGGCTGTCATTGAAGGACTCCACTCCATACTTGGACACACAGTAAGGTCCACCGAATGGGCTGATTCGACCGCACACACTGGCGATGTTTATCACCCTGCCTTTGGCCTTCTTGATGAGGGGGAGGACACTCAGGGTCACGTCGATGACACCGAGCAGATTGACCGCTATCATAGGTTTGAAATCTTCTACGGTGAGCCAGTCGTTGGGACCGGACGGCACTGAGATTCCAGCGTTGTTCACGACAGCCCAGAGGCCTGAAGTAACACAAACCCAACAACAAGAAGCACAATGAGAGCCACAGTGCGGACACACAAATCCCTGCTTTGGACTGCGTGTTATAATCATTAATGTTGAAATATAGTATACCATAAAAACAGGGCCACATGAGAATTGGGACTGTTGTTGAGGGCTGGAACAGTAAGATTAACTAATTTATACTCAACGCAACTTTACCTCCTTACAAACTGCTGTTGGAGAGAGTAGATGTCAAAAATATTCCCCAACTGTGGCCCTTGGGAAAACTCAAATGTCATAACTTTTTAAATTCTTTGTGTTATTGCTGGGAGATATTGTTTCTGGGTCATTAACCCAGACTGATTGTGAAATCATAGCAAACCACTCTTAAGAACATTGTGTATTTGCTTCTCATTTTATGTCATGTAGGCCCACTTTAAAGTGATAAACATGCTCTGCCGGTTTCTAATCTAGACTCAATTCCATGAATCCACACTTTGAAAAAAATCACTGATATGAGCAGCTAAGCATCTACTACAATAAAGTCAAATGATTTGCAGATACACTTTAACATTAACTTCTCAAAGCCAGTTTAAAAATTGGGCTCAGAACTTTGTTTTCATTTCCCAGGTCTGATATTCAATTCAATTTTATTTATATAGTGCCAAATCACCACCTCCTGGTTCTGCCGAAGAAACCTCCGGCAGAACCAGGCTCAGGGAGGGGCGGCCATCAACCATTAAAACAAGCCCCAAACCCTAAAATGACTGGAAATGAGTTAAACAGGCTGGCTCTTCCTGCAGGCACACTACAAATCCAAACACTGAGTCATTAAATACATTAACCCTTTTACGCATAGTGGTCACTACAGTGGACAGCTATTCAAAGGCTGTTTTCTTGTCTTTGTGTCAGCGTTGGTGGTATACTTGCACATAAATACAACACACAGTGCATATTATTTATTTGTTTGTCAAATTCACAAGTCAAAACATATGTTGTCCAACTAAATTGACATGTAAAAAATTCTTTGAAAAGTACATGCTTTTAAAAAAAAAATGAAGTTCAAAAATATTTTTTTCGTGCCTAAAGATGAATAAAAACACTAACATAATGAGATGTTCTCTTTGCTTCATTGTTCTTAAAGTTCAGTTGTTCAGGGTTTGTTTTATTTTCCTTCATGCTGGAATAAACAGAGTGAGTGGGTGGGTGGGTAGCTGGGTTATTGACTATACTGACAACAGATAGGAGTATACAGACTGACACAGTCCTCACTGTGAAAAAGGAAGGCCTTTACATTAAGTTTCAGTCTTGTTCACATTTTATTCAAGAAAACAAAACTGAATAATTCTTTCATTAGTATATTTATTCTACTCACGCCTGTCTAAAGCAATTAAAAATTACTGTGATGGACTACTTTTGCGATAAAAATAAAGAAATGACTGTGAAAACAGATGAATTGCCTTAACAGCCACTTTAACTAATCCTGGTTTTTCCTGGCATGTAATCCAACTATTTGACATTTAAGTTCATCAGTTAAAAATGGGAGACTTTACACTGAGCCACTCACCCTTCTGTCCAACCAGAGTCTTGATGAAAGCTGCCACTTTGCTCACACTCTCAGAGTCGGCGACGTCCAGGTGGATGGTGGTCAGTTTGTCGGAGGAGACCTTCTTCAGCTCATCCTCACCCTTCCCGGTGTAACAGCCTGCAATCACGCGGAAGCCCAGCTTGTCCAGGTGTCTCGCCAGGAGATTACCAAACCCGGAGTCGCAACCTGTGATGTACACATACTTGTCCTCCTTGTTGGAAACTCTTTTGGTTTCTCTGTACCAGCGATAAACGAACCAAACAGCCACCAGCCCGAGGATGTACAGAAACATTTTTCTAAGGTCAAGAAGAAGGTGGAACATTATTATTAGGTTATATTCAAATAACTCCGGAAACTTTTATACATATATATTATAGGTCATGGTTAAATGATTATAACAAATAGGTGTTGATGTGCAATAACATAGGAGGTTGAGCCAAAACCCTTAGCGGCTGTGTGAGGGGGTCAAAACTACGAGTGTAGGCTGCTGATAAATGACAGCTTCATGTGATGATTAAATCATTGAGATCAATGACAAGGTTCTGAATTGTGCCAGTCCGGTTGGCCAATATGATTACATACCTTATTAGAATGACAGGGTTTCTAATAAGGTATGACTCTAAAGTCTTGACTTGTTTTCCTTATTTTAATTACTTAAAAGACCTGTCATATTTGAATGCCTACTCCATCATTCTTCTTTGGTTAACCGGCTGCTCTTTTGTACAAATACTCGTCATATCTGAATCTACTTCGTAAAGAAAACCAGCACTTGTATTTGCATTGGATGTGAGGAATAGACAGTAACGAAACCATGCTGTGATTTACGGATCATCCTGTCACTCCTGTTTGGCCAACCGTACACCTAATGCTCTTTTCTTCAATGAAGGAAATGACCTTACACCTACTCTTCTGCATATTCCTGTAATATGTTGTCTTGACTTTGCGCACACATTCACACTCCTATTTGTCATGCACAGTTTTACATCTGTAAACCATCTGAGCATGCTACTACAGGTTAACAACCTGCTGTGACTTGACACACTCAAGCTCCGTAAACATGCTTTACAACGCTCATGACGTGATGCCTGTGGGCTTGGCAGACTTCACAGACAACCAAAAAGACTAAACTTTTTGGGTTTGGGGTTTTTTTGGTAAATGAGAAATACTTTATTTGTGAAATTATTTAAAAATGCTCGATGATTAAAGTGATGACAATAACATCTGGCAGATGCTTCTCTCCCAGACTGATATCATGCATTATAGATGGTGACAGCATGTAGCATGAAGGCCTTACATATATACACAATCAGAATCAGAATGGGTTTTATTGCCAAATGTTGAGCAGGTTTACAACATTAGGAAATTGCTGCGGTGCTTCAGTGCAAACATACTGTCATAAATTACGCTTAAATAGACATGAAAATAAAAATAAGAATAAGAATTAAAAGTGCTAAGTCCCTCACAATGGCGCCACTGTGAGGGAACCTATTAGAATGAAAGATTAAATCATCTGTTTTGACTACAAACACAATCAACAACTGGTGAGACTGCAGACGGAAATATAAAGATAAACTAAACATCTGCAAAATGCAAAGAATGAGAGATAACACAAGGCTGTGAAGAATTTCACATATTACTTTGACGACTTTTACTGTCATTTGAGAAATGAGACAAAGGAAAAGGCCACGGGAAGTTTTACACTCTCGTCTAGCGGATGAAGAAGTATTTAAATCATTGTGAGTATATTTAGAAATATTACACTATAAAAGAAATTAGCACGAACATACATTTAAAGCTACTTTTGGGTGCTCTCTTCTTTCCCCAAAGGTGAACCATAGGAGATCGATCCACATGTTTGATCTGACACAGATTTTATGCTGGCTCTAATGCACCGTTGCCAGTTATCTGTGTTTCCCCCCAATTTTTGTGGATCCTCCTGGTCTTTAAACTAGTGAATGGTTAGGTTAGGTAAAGT